CCTGGCCCAGCACATCCACCTCGTGCCACCAGGATGAGGCGTTGAAGGCGGCCACCTCCAGCACATCGTCACAGGCTGGGGACAGGAGGCGGCAGGCTGGGAACTCAGGACCCCCAACCAGGCGTGGCACAGGGGTGGCACTGGGATTGGCAGCCCAAATAGCGCCTTAATTTCAGGGGGAGTGGGACAAAAAATACCTTTGTGGAATATGAGTCGCTTCTCGGAGAGGGATCCCCTGTGGGGAGGGAAGCAGGGGCAGCATCAGGCTGGTGAACAAGCCCCGGGGGGTTTGCAATCGAGGGCTGGCTGTTCCATGGGACAGCACAGGCGGCTCCCACAGCCGGGCGTGGGGTGCAGCCCCTGCTCACCCACCTTTTGGAGTGGAGCCCGTTGGCAAAGGCTGACTCGTAGAGCGTGATCCCCTTCTCCCGGGACAGCGTGACCTGCCCGCCCAGCTCGTCCGCGATCACCCCGGCGTGCACGGCGGCCTTGCACAGCACCGAGGTCTGCAGGGAGCAGGGGGTCAGAGCAGCCCCCACAGGGCGCCCCGAGGCCCAACCCACCCCCTGGGGGCTGCTGGGGGTGCCAGGCAGTGGCCACACGTGCTGGGGACTGTCCCACACTTACGTCCCGGTAGCCCTGGCTGGGGTTGCCCCAGATGTCCCCATGGATGTCCTTGCAGCCTGCAGGGCAGTACACGCTGAAACGCACAGCAAGGGGGGGTCAGGGCTTGCTCTGCCCCTCTTCACACCCTCTCTGTTCCCCATCCCACTGCAGCTGCACCCCAAGAGCCCTGGGAGAGGGATGGGGTGAAACCAGGGCTGATGGGAACTGCCGGGGTGGGGACACCAAAGCAGGACCACTCACCCCCCTGACCACTCACCTGATGTGCTCCTGGGTGTAGTGGGTGCCTCGAACCAGGCAGGAGACCAGGTCTGCAAGGCAGGGACACCCCAGGGTGAGGGACCCCCACCCACCCCACAACACCCACCCACCTCTGCCCAAGGGCACCCCATTCCCATGCCCTTCCCAACCAAATCCTGCTCCACATTTGGGTTTTCCACCCCATATCCCCATGTGTGGAGGGGTAGGGAGAGGTGGCCCTTTGGTCCCTGCAGCCGTGCCACCATCCAGAGTGGCTCTGTTTGATATTGGCCACCTGACCTGGGGGTGTCCCATGTTGTGCCCCCAGTCAGGGAGAACACGGATATTCAGGGCAATGGGAGCCCACCCAGGGGTCAGCAAGGAGCTCCCTCCACCTCAGGCCGTGCCCCCCCTCGATGGGCCAAGACACATCCTGGGGGGGGTCTCTGCACCCCCAGGGGATGCCCCCCTCACCTGGGTGCTGAGAGGTGGCATAGGACAGGAGGAGGCCTCGCCCCGAGCGGTGGCTGGTGCTGTTGAACAGGACGGTCACAGAGCTGGAGTTTGTCACCAGGAGCGGGGCAGAGGGGACGGAGTTCCTGCAGTAGGGCCCTGCCGCAGGGACGGGGCCGTGGAGAGGGTTGGGGCTCCCTGGGGACAGGTGAGGGCACACAGACCCCAGGGTTTCACCTCCCCCGGCTCAGCCCTCGCCAGGGCTGGGGGAGCTCAGGCATTTAGGTCCTGGGGTTGTCCCACACCCAGGGTGGTCCCATGCCAGGGTGTCCTCTTGCCCAGGGTGGTCCCATGCCATGGTGACCTCATGCCAGGGTGTCCCCTTGCCCAGGGTGGTCTCATGTCCTGGGGTGGTCCCATACCAGTGTGACCTCGTGCCAGGGCAGTCCCAGCCCCAGGGTGGCCCCACACCCAGAGTGGCCCCATCCCCAGAGCAGTTACATCCATGCCATGGGAGGACCTGGGTTGCAGCCCCCCCTGATTGCCCCCTCCCCTCCACACTGTCCCCCCACAGCCACAAGCAGCACGGGGGGGGACACAGCCCCCAGATGAGGGCATGGGAGCTGGGTTGCAGCCCCCCCTGATTGCCCCCTCCCCTCCACACTGGCCCCCCACAGCCACAAGCAGCACGGGGGGGGACACAGCCCCCAGATGAGGGCATGGGAGCTGGATCAGGTTCCTGGGGGGTACCCCAAGATGTCTCCTGGGATGGCATGAGCGGCCACCAGCCCTTATGGGGACCGGCCACCACATCCCCCACTGCCAGGGTTGGCACATGTGGCATCACCCCACGGGACCCCGAAACAGGGGCTGTGTCCCCTCCCCATCTCCCCTCTCACAGGCGCTGCCAGAGCTGCCTCCTAAATCCCGCCCCCGTTTAATCCCCATTAATTTGCAATCTCCATCTCCCTGATTAAAACTTCGGCTTAGCAGGCAGGC